CATAGACTTGGATCAGATTCATTGGAAAAGTCAAGAACCTGTCTAATCTAAGCCAGATTATTGTTTTATACTGATAAGTATTATTCAGAGATTGATGTGCACGTTTTACTATCTATCACACGTAATCCTAATGAATTTGATCCATTTTTTTGGCAGATGCATATGTGGGGACATGGGTCCGAATTTAGGAAAGGACCAGACTCGCTTAGAGGAACACAACCAGCGGCAATGCTGAGGCTACCATGTTATTGCTGTGCTCATGGCTGCAAGAACAACATCAACCACCCTAGAGCCAAGCCACTGAAGGACTTCAGAACCCTGCAGACTCACTACAAGAGAAAGCATGGCTCCAAACCCTTCATGTGCAGAAAATGTGCCAAGACTTTCGCTGTGAAAGGGGATTGGAGGACTCACGAGAAGAACTGTGGCAAGTTGTGGTATTGCACTTGTGGTTCAGATTTCAAGCACAAAAGGTCCCTTAAGGATCATATTAGGTCTTTCGGAAAGGGCCACAAACCCCATCCTTCTCTCGAAGGTTTTGAGAAGGACTCCGAAGAAGATGAAGTCATTACTCACACATAATCTAACACATAATATATAGCTGTGTGTTTGCTGTCAAATTTTACACACGTGTTGAGTTCACATTGCAGAATTTGACAGCAAACACCTAAATAACTTAAATTTACTTTGAAGTCTTTGGCCTTACTGTTATTATGAGGCTTGTTCTTACGCTTGTGCTCAGTAACAAAAAGTTCTCTAGAATGGAAGTGCTGAGGCATGACCATAGGGAGCGGTTTGCTAGGGAGCACTTGCTGGGTGATGACGAGCTATGTCTAGCTAGCTAGTAGGATATATAGAGGTTTGCTTTGTGGTTAATTATAATAAGATGGTCATTACCTCTTAAGTGATGAAGTAGATGAATTTTCTTCCCATAAGAACAGGAAGAAGAAGTAGTATTTATTAGTAACCTCTTCAATATGGGGAAAATTTATCCGCTTCATTACCAAATGGTGGTAATCACCTTTTGAGGACTTTAATTTGTTGTCATAATCTATATTATAACTTTGTTGTATATTATGGATTTGACTTGATTGCTATATGGCATTATGGTTTTGTTTCTGCACAGCTAAGCCTTTTAAAGTGACCACTAGAGATGAGTTTAGATATACATATAGCCATGATAATGATCTAGCTCAAGCACCAAATTAAAAGCATGTGAAACCAATACACGTGTGTGAATGTGTAACAAAGTTGAAAAGTTTAGTTTCAGTGTTTCCCTTCAAATTCCTTAATCTCTATATATGTATAGTCGGCGATCCACAACTCCAAAAGAAGTTTTAGTGCAGAGAAAAGCGTTTATTAAACATGATTAAGTTGACAACATGATTAGAGATCATAACAACTTGAGCCTCGTGAGGTCAGAATCTATGCGACATAAAATGAGAGTGGGTATTAAATGAATCATAAAGAGAATATAAGTGTGTGCGCGTGTGTGAACTAAATTTGGCTTTATTTATATAATACCTGCCCCCATTTGCAGAGGCAAAGTGGGACTGAGAGTCCATTCTGGAGGGCTCCAGTTCACCAAACCATCCACCAATAATATATCATCATGTAGCTAGAGAGATTGATTGCCCAATATTAAAAGAATCAAATCTAACAAGCACGATTAATTCTTTATGTCCCATGCTTATTAATTAGATGATCTACTAGATTGAAATAAAAACTCCCAAAATGGTGATTAATATCCTTAATTATTACATCCATGTTTGAAAAGAGAGAGCATGCGTAGCAATATATACAAGGGCCTGCTTTTTCTCAAAGATGACATGGTGATGCTTGCTACACGTGAGGGAGAAGAGAGAGAGAGAGAGAGAGAGAGGGGAAATTAAAGGGTTAATTTGAAAACAGGGGTGGCTTTAGGTAAGATTGACCAAAGAATACAAAAGTAGAAGGAAAAAAGGGAGAGGAGGGTGTGTTTGGTTTATGAAGATAAGGGACCTCCACCATGTTTTGTCGGGTGAAAAAAGATCACAACCACCATCTTTAATTGCACTGATTTAGCAAACTAAACTTATTATCTAACTTAACCAGCTTGCCTTTCAATATTCTAAGTCCAAAACATCTAATTATTCTTAGCCTGGTTAAGTAAACCACGCTCGCCCAACTGGTTGCCTTGATAGAGACAATACTATTGCACCCAATATGAACCCTTCTTTTCTCTGTTTCAAAAAGAAAATGACAGCTTAATTACTTTGCCCCATCCATATCTAGCCTTCTTTTACTCTAAACAAAACTCCAAATCGTTGGCTATGGGTTCAATTACTCTTGTAAATAACGTAAATACTGATTTGAGCTGCAAGCAGCTCTAATTACGTATTAGTTATTACTTTTGTGAAAAAAATTTGAACTATTCCGATATCTCAATATATAAAATATGTAGTTGTATTGTTTTTTCTTTTTATTATTGTTTAAAGGTGTGTTTGGCAAGCACCCCAAACCATGGTTTTGGGACCCAAACCATGGTTTGGGAAAAATGTTAGCCAAACACCCTTAAAAAAATCAAAACTATGGTTTTGGAAAAAGCAGAAATTTTTTACTTTTGGAGAAAAAAGGGAGAGTGTGAGAGCCTATAGGATATGTATCTTGTTATTTTTTTTATAAACATATTTTTTATAAACATATTTAATCTTATATCTTATAAATATATATACATATTAATTATTTATTAATTATATTATCTTATATATTATTAATATATGTTAATAAAAATATATTATTAACAATTTTATTCCTTCAAATTAAAATATATCATAAAATATATTTTTCTATAATTATCATATTAATTTATGCCAATTTGTATATATAAAAAGTACTTCTAATAACAACTATCCAAACACTCACACTTCTCAAAATCACTTTTTCACAAAATCTATTCTTCTCAAAATCTATTTTTTTCAGAATCTATTTTCCAGAAGCTATTCTCCAAACCATGATTTGGTTTCATCCAAACATACCCTAAGTCACGAATAGTCCGCTTTATTTCTTGAACTTTGTATCATGCATGGGACCCATATTTAGTTTTTTGGGTTAATTTATGAAATTGTTAATATCGTGCTCGTCTGATTGGCTTTAAATATTATGTCCTGTCAAAATGTCCGCATTTCTTTGCTATTATATCATGCCATACTTATGTCCGTACTGTCATAACAACGAAATGTAGAAAATATAAATTATTATATATACTGCATGTGAGTAAGTAATATGAGATGATGGTCAAAAAAGAATAAGTAGTATGAGAATATAAAATGTGCCTGGAGGCGTCGTAGAACTATTTTAGTGAATCAACTGAGCATGCCATGGTAGTATTTTATGAATTATCCATAGTTGGGTATGAGTTCAATTAAAGAAGGAATTTTTGCATCCATGATCTCTTTAGAATTTTTTTTTCTTCCCCTTTTTGTATGTGCAGGTGTAATTACATGAATAATAGGGCTTCCAAGTTATCAAGCTATCTCTCGAGTTTTCACATATATAGTTTTAAATTATTATCTCCAGTCTTTAATATAAGACCTTGTTTAACTTTTATTTTGGTTCTAATTAGAAGACCCCAATTCACTTTGTGTCTCATATTTATGTATTTTTTTTTCAAGGTGGTCTTTCTAATAATAGTAGTTTTAGCCAATCAACTTAGTAAGTAAGAATATTTTAAGAAACACAGTATTTATTTATTACAAATAATTAATTTAACTTATTTTCTTAATCTCTTCTAATTAATCAACTAACTCTTATAATTATGATTGGAAGTAGTATTTTAAAAATGTATAACTGATAGATACTTGAAAAATAACACAATCTTGTGACATCGGAAACAACCTGTTATAATGTATACCGAAAACTTCACTCGTATTTGCAATCAGGGGACAAGGACTCGAGGGCAGCCTGCAATTCTAGTACTGGTAATTTGTCAAGCCCAAATGGAAAGGAAGGTCCATGTAAGCAACAGTTTCTAGTATTCTTACCTTGCTGGGCCCGATACCAAAAATGGTTTTGCTCTGAATCAATCTGGCATTTTAGATTGGACCATCAAAAGCCGAAGAACAAACAGTTATCTTAATCTTACCCATTATTACACTACCGAGCATCTGATGGGCCAACTCACCACAAGACCACCGCCCCGTAAGTCTTCGGATGTTTAGTTACGACACTTTTCTCACCGTGGTTTTGTTTTGGGAAGAAGCAAAGCATTATTGGAAAACGACTATTGATAAGCTTGAAGTTGGAACACTCCGTAATTGGTAAATGGTAATGCTAATTAGTAGTATAAGATAATGAGTTATTTTCTGTCCAAATGTCTTGTGTTATCATTTTTTGTCGCTGTTCCCAAATTGGATTGTTCTAGTTTTAAGAAGCAAGTTGATTGGTGGCCTGGCCTGACCTGCTGGACCAGAAAGTGTTGGTACATTCAGACTCGCAGAAGCCATGTGACTGAATGAGTAGGGCAATAGCTTTAGGTAATGTCTGGCTCTTGCGGTTTTGTGATATTCCTTTGTGGGTAAGAAATTATATGCACTTTGTTTGGTCCCATACCGGCCATACCTTGGACATTCGAACACTGTTCTATTGGCATCTAATTTCTCTGCTATAATCAATTACGCCTTCAGTCTTTGGCTTAACTTTTTCATCAGCAAATTTTAGAAAAGAGAAACCCCATTATATTAGAACAGTGCTAGAGACGAGAGTGTGGTGGTGTCTGATTAGATGCACCAACACGAACTTATAGGCTTACCAATTTCTTGAGGTGAGGTTGTAAGGAATTGACATAAGCGTTTGAAAATACAACACAGCTCTGTGGCACTGCATCGGATGGTGGGGCATTGATGTTATGTTGGTACAAATCCTCTAGTTCATAGTGGCGTGAACTGTTTTTGAAGACCACCTTATTTGACTTTCGAGGATTTTTTTTCCCTTCTTTTCTGTTGGCCCCATTTGACTTTCAAGATTAGAATACAGAGCATTATTATTATTAGTAGAATACATAATAAGCGGATTCAGAGAGGGCGTGAAGTTTTGTGTTGCTGGGTTTTGCTTAGGTGTACGAATATCACATTTTTGCAGTTTCTGATACAGTTTACTGCTTAACTCCTGAACCATCAAAGGCCACATTGAAACACTGCGGATGACCATTATGTATCAAGGATAGATGGGGAGGCAGGAGATAATGTTCATTCCTTAAAATGCCAGAGACCTTAAGCAGATCACATGGTTCGATTTGAGTATGTAGACAAGGCTTTTGATGATTGTTGTAAGGCTGTCAAGAACATGAGCATTCACGTGCCGTCATGAAGCTACAATACAAAATCAACCGCATGAGAGTAGCAGATCAACATAATCTTGAGTGTAGAAAACAAAGATAGGTACTTAACCATTCAAGGATCGAACTTGTATTGATTTAACCGCAATTTACACTTAAAACTGTTGCTTCAGCCTGGTTTTGGCAGTAGTAGTTCTGAAATGAGGGAAAAGACCCAAAAAAAAAATAAATCTTCAATCAGTATTCCTTTCCACACTATCTGCCCATTTCACAAAAATCATGAGAAAATTTCAGATGCTTCATGATAGACAAATTTGCTGACTGCTTCACCACAAAATCAGAACAAGGGGTCATTGATACAGCACCACGGGTGGAATCTTGAATTTGTCCGAGAGGAAAGGTATTGCCCTGCGTCCATCGACCAGGTCCCCGTAAAAAGCATATTCTGCTTCATAGTCATGCAAATGAAGCTCAGCCTTCTGATTCGTATGATAATGATGCCTGGCTGAGGCAGACTTGCCGAACCCAAATATACTGACTCTATCACAGATTCCTAAAGCTAACATAACAGCTTGCATACCAGAAGAGTAATGAAATAGAGCACCATCATGTGCAGAGCTCCATTCTTCCAAAGCCTTCCCTGTCTCCTCCACAAACCTCTCCAAGGAGTAGTACTTCACAATCCGAGCACATAACATATCGAACCGTGGATCGGTGACCAGCAATGGTGCTTTGTGAGAGGAATTGCAAACGGTGTAATCCAAGAAATGAGCTGGTTGGCAAATGTACATAACTATTGGCACATTAGCTCCATATGGGTGACAGAAGCATTCTGTCCTCCTTGCACAGAGATGCAAAATGTTGCTATTTACGAATGAAATGCTTGTTTTAGACCCCACTTTCTTCTCAAACTTCTCAACCCTTGCATTGTTCAATCGGATAACTGCTTCATGGCTATCAATGAGCTTCCCATAGTCGTTGTTCAGCAAAATTCCACTGTTGCCAACCACCGCACAAGACGAGTATCGCCGCTCGGAACCCGCCAATCCATTGTGCCTATCGATAGGAAGCTTAACTAGCCGCGTCAAATCGGACATAATACTAGGCTGAAACCTCTTTTTCCTGGTCCAATCGTTCAAAACCTTTCGGAAATCGAGCCAATACCTATAAAACAGCGGCGAGCGTATCGTTACCGCTAGCCTCCTCGGGTCCTTATCAGTGATCTCATGGTGAATGAATCTACGCCAAGAGACAAACGTCCGGTGCCGGGCTTGACTTCCAAAGTCTCCATCCAGAAGCTGCTGGATTTCTTGCTTCGACTTCTCTTCTCCGATATCGATGGCGGCGTGTTTCAGCAGCGTCGCGTTCAACAATGGTGCTGCCGGAACTTGAACCCATACTCTGCTCTCCAACTCAATGGACAATAAGCCTCTCCGAACAAAGGTTCTGCAGCTGAGAGTGGCAACGAAGACGACGACAATTAGAACTCCAAACAGCGGGCGAATCGAACGCTTCATTGGAAAGGCGTGCTTAACGGAACAACTTGTCGGTGTTGCTAAATGTGGCCAGAAACTAGAGATCTTGAAGCTAAGAGCGCCAGATCCATCTTTGTCTCCGAGAACATTAAGCAAGAGAAATGAAATAAGCGAATGAGGCCACAAGAGATCCCTGAGAGGTATTAGCGAGGGCAAATATACTATGAATCACGAACGTAACATAGGGTTGACTCCGGGTTCTGGACAAAAACAGGGCTTCTAATCATTGCGGCCTTTTGAAAAGAAATGCCAATACTAGATGAAAAACAAATTTCCAAGTAGGAATCACAAGTAAAATCAACAATAAGCTACAGTAAGGGCCTTCACTACGCAGATGGACCATAGAGAAGCTACGAAGAAGCAAGCAAAAAGACAAATCGAATGGAGCAGCAGCGGAAGCAGTAAAATCTGGAGGGGATGTAGAAGAAACGGAATAAAGAAGAAGGAATATTAAGTCGCAACTTCAAAACCCACATGGGAGCTAAAGCGAAATGAGGAAGACCGGTTGATAAAGCTGCAAGCCGGAGAAGATTCGAGGGCACAGAAGAGGGGAAAACGAACCCTAACAAAGAAAGAAGAGAAGTGTGCGTTGAAGGGCGTTGCGAAGACGGTGAGCAGCTGCGGGCTTGAGGCCATTAAAAAAGCATGCTTTTTCTGATTGCAAGCGAGGGAGAGAGATGGGGCCTACTCTGGGGGGTTTTTGTGGGGTATAGTGAATACTTACCGATGCGATGATGTAGACCGAGGGATTCAGATTTTAGATCCGATCCAATCCAAGCTTTGTTCCCGTTAAATTTATTAGGTTAGACGATTAATTATTACTATCACCTCTGATTTCCACTTTTTTGGTTTCAAATACATGTTGGGCAGATTTTCCATGGGTTTCAAGTTTTAACTTCTACTAATTTTATTAAAAACGATGTTCAGTAAACTGATTGAAATGGAAACAAATATAAGGACATGTTAAAAATGTTTTTATGCTTTTACATAGAAGTATTAAAAAACAAAAATATCAATCCCAGTATTAATATATATAAATTAATGGAAATTTTTTTCGCCAATCTATTATAAATTCTCATCGTTTATAAATAATGCGACTTACACGTATATGTGACATGCAAGCCTAGTTTTGTTGGATATGGATGAGAAGATTATTAATAATATTATTTGCATAAACTTATGTCATTTTCATGAATTTCAACCATACAATTATTTTCTATTTCTTTTTAATAAAAAATACAGAATTTTATGGTTGGTTTTACATTAAGCTGTACAGTTTTTATTTTTAAATAGATAACAAACACATTTAATGGTGTGCTCTCCCGACATAGTCTTCAGGGGGACAAAATATGGGAGCGTTTCTACTCACTCTGTCCTTTATTAGCACTGTGTGAAAGTGGAAATAGAAAGTTGGGAACATAAAATCAATTGAACTGCCCAAATCGCGTAAATAAAGACGTGTTTGGATGTGTCTTGAAGATGTTTTTAAAAATATTTTTTTATAAATCGAGATAAATTTTTTTACATCTTTATTTTTTATACTGTAAAATTACTTATAAAACAATGATTTGGTTTTCATACAAAATTTCTCTAAAATCTTTCGGTAATTTGGTTTTATATATCAATGCACTGTATTGTTCAGGCAAACAACTCCCCAAAAAATTGATGAAATTAATAGCAACGTCACATGATTGAAAATGAATGCAAATTTCTTTTTTCGCCCGCTTTATCCTTCCCCGCTTGACGCGCTTCTTGGCAATCACCCTCGCATTGTTTATTTTCTCTCTCTTTTTTTGGCCTATTGTGAATCAAAATGAAACTGATTTCTTGTGTACTATTAACTTTATTTGTTTCTTTTTCAGTTAATAGTAGACATCGCGGAATATTAGGAATTGACAAAAGTCGTCTGGTTATAGCTTCCATGAAATTTAACTTCTTTTTTTTGGCCTGATATGAAATTTGACTTCTTAGAACAAGTTTCTAAGCATTGTCCTCACTTTGACATTTTCCCTTTCCTAATAATTTGAAAATGACCTAGAGATACTAATGGACCTGGCACCTGGATCTCATGAAAAATGTCAGTTCCTCATGTTGTGATGAGTCAGTATTTAAATTATCACTAAGAGATATATCCATATTTAATATCTGACAATATTTTAAATATGATTGTTTCTAATAGAAAGATATCCATACGTAAAAAAAATGAAAGTGATGGATATTTTTTAAATAAAATTATATTCCTTTAAATGCAAGAACTAATAATAATAATTATTTTAATTCTAAATATGATATCCCTCCCAGAGTGATGGTTGCATTAGTGTTTGTAAATTTAGATTTCCTCTCTATTTTTTTCAAATCTACAGTCTCCTTAATTTATCTTCATTTTATTAACTTTAAAGCGTTGATTTTATGGAGATATTTAAAATCTCAAATTTACATCTGTCCATTTCTTCTATCAATAACAAAGACTAATTTTGACTAATTTCCGAATCTTAACTGATCCCCTTTAATTTACGGAGACCAGAGAGTAACGCTCTATAATTAGATGTACTTTACATGTAAGGGTTGTGGATCGCACTCCTAATTTCTTGCTCAAGGAACAAGAGCCTCTATCATTTACACGCAGCTTTCTTTTTCATTTGAATTAGCATTAGGTGATTTTGTTTTTTTCTTTTCTCTTTAATTATAATATTCATTCTTTTATTAAAATACACATTTATTAAAAAGATTTAAAAAAAACATAAAAGGCCGGGCCATTATATTTGAAAATTTAGAATTAAGTCCAAATTAACCAAACAACTCGGCCGGTCCGAAGAACAAGAAATAAGACTAAAAAAACTATTATATGAGAAACTAAAAACCAACTATAATATTCACTTAAAGCTTCCTTCTTCTTCTTCTTTTTTCTGGTAAAAGAAAGTTCATGTGCGTTGGGTTCCTGAGACTCACTAGTTTCAGAACATACTTTTAGGATCAAATAACGCTTACAGAGATACTTACAGATTGCCCACCAATAAAGTCCCAACATCGACAGCAGGATTTGAACTCACGTCTTTATAAGTTATGAGTCAAAGCAATTCTTAGTAAGAATAATAGATTTGATGCATGAAGAATTACTAACACTAAATATCTCATCAAACCTGGAGAAGAATATGACTTGAGAAGCTATTTTAAGGATCCTGTCAGCTAAAAGACTAACAGATTAGATTTTGTTTGGATTGTGATTGGCATGGCCAAAACATTCGTTTTTAATCTGAATTAATTCGCAGTTACTCCGACTGGTTTCTCCACCCACCAATATAACCAAACTCCTCTTTTTGTTTTTCTATTAGCCCTCCTCTTTTTAGAGAGAGAGAGAGATTCAATGCAACTGCTACTATTAATCCGCTCAACTTGACCATTGATGATTTTAACAAGTTTTTTTTTTTTTTTTGCCAACGATTTTAACAAGTATGAATTGACAATGTCAACATGTGTAATTAATCCTTTATTTTTAACTATTACAACCCTGACCTTGCTCAAAGATGGTTAACAAACATTATTCGGGGTAACGACAATGACAGTGCCCCTGCACCGCTTTAACAGAAATTGAGTACATGAACTAAACTTATATATTAAAAAATAAAACCAAACTGGTCAATATTAGACTTAAAACATAAAATAATATTATCTCCCAGTTTAATTAATTGAAGAAAAAATATATAAAAATGACACTTGAACTTAAAAATGTCAAAATAGTCACTTGAATTTGTAAAATTCTAATTTAGTTACAAATAACCAATTTGACATCTATAAATTTGCTGAAATGACCATATTATCTTTTATTTTATTTATTATTTTTTAAAAAAACCAAATGCCTTCACTGGTCGCCGGCATCAGAGCTCCAGCGGCGGGCAATAATTTTTTTAAATTTTTTTACAACTTTAGTAAAACGGTTAACAAGTTTTGTAATGCTATTAATAAGTTCAATATAATAGTTAACAACAAGTTTTTTAGAAAATTCAAAAAGTAGCATTTTTCCAACTTTAGTAATATTGTTAACAAGTTCCGTAACTCTATTAACAATTTGGGTATAGCATTTAACAACAGGTTTTCTGAAAAATTAAAAAAATAACATTTTTACAATTTTAGTAACAACTTTTTTTCAATTTTTTTTTTCTGATTTTAATAAAATGGTTAACAGGTTTTGTAACGTTATTAACAAGTTTTATATAACAGTTAATAATAGGTTTTCTAAAAAATTTAAAAATTAGCATTTTCACCGCTTTGCTAATGCCGTTTAACTATATTAACAACTTCGGTATAGCATTTAATAACAGATTTTCTGAAAAATTTAAAAAAATGACATTTTTACAACTTTAGTGACTATTTTTTTTGAAAATTTTTACAACTTCAGTAAAATAGTTAACAAGTTTTGAAACACTATTAATAAGTTCAATATAGCAGTTAACAACAGATTTGTCAGGAAATTTAAAAAGTAGTATTTTTACAACTTTAGTAATGCTGTTAATAAGTTATGTACCTTTATTAACAACTTCGGTGTAGCATTTAACAACGGGTTTTTTGAATAATTCAAAAAGTGATATTTTTACAACATTAGTAACGCGGTTAGCAAGTCATATAACGATATTAACAACTCTCATGACCATAATGGTTGCCTAATAAGTGAAAAAATTTTACTGTACAACTTTCATAAGGAGCTAAGATCAACCTTCACGAGAGTTATTACATGACTTGTTAATCATGTTATTAAAATTGTAAAAATGCTACTTTTTAAATTTTTCAGAAAACTTGTTGTTAAATGCTATACCAGAGTTATTAATAGAGTCACGAAACTTGTTAATGGCATTACTGAAGTTGTAAAAATGTTACTTTTTGAATTTTCTGAAAAACTTGTTGTTAACTGCTATATTGAATTTATTAATAGTGTTGCAAAAATTGTTAACTGTTTTACTAGAGTTGTAAAAATTTTGAAAAAAATTGTTGCCAGTCACTAGAGTTTCAGTGACTAATTGGTGGCGACTGCTGGAGCTAAGGTGACTGTGGCCACCTGAGCTTTGCTGCTGCCGATGGCACCGGAGTTCCAACGACCGCCGGCTAGCGGGGACATTTGGTTTTTAAAAAAATAATAAATAAAATAAAGGGCAATAAAGTTATTTCAGTAAATTTATAAATGTTAAATTGGTCACTTGTGACTAAATTGGGATTTTGCAAATTCAAGTGACTATTTTGATATTTTCAAGTTCAAATATCATTTTTGTGTTACTTTCTCTTCATTTAAATATATTAAAAAATTAATTAATTTAATTATTTATAATAAAAATGAGTTAATTTTTTTAATACATTTTTTTTTACTCATTACCACTTTTAATAAAAAGATTACATAATATATGCTATATAAGCAAGTAGTTTTTTTAGTTTTTTAAAGTAATCAAATAAGTGTTATAAAATAATATTATTTTATTTATTCCCCTCTTGGGGGAAGAAATCCACATATTTTGGTGTTTTAAAATATTTTATTTCATACCATTTTCTTGATCTTTAATATGAGACTTAATTATTAAGTTAATTTTGATTCTAAATATAAAATTTATGATATTTATCAATTTTTTTAAAATTATCTTTATGAATACTCTCTCAATCATAATTCCTAATCAAGTAGGAAAAAAGATAAAATATTAAAAAATATCATATTTTTTATAATTAATTAATTTATAAAACTGCCTCACTGACGCACGCACCTATAATGAATAAAACACAGAAAAGGATTAGACAAATGTATTTAATTAAACATTTATTAATTCATTGAAATTTACATCATGGCTCAACGGCGTGAGAATAATGCTCCCCAACCCACCAATCCACCAACAACCAACCGCCAACAGCGTCCGAACCACGACCCTCCAACCACTAATGACCCGATGACCGACCCAAATTTCAGATCCGAATACCTTTCCCAAATGAAATATAATCACACACGCGACATGACCATAACACCCTTCCTCCTCAGATCTTTTCTAGCTTATCGGCCTTCACTATTGGATTGGCCTTCGCGATCTGCTCCCGGCCCATCGTCTTGAAGTCGAACTCGCACCCGTGCTGTTCCGGGTATCGGTGGGCCCCGCAGTACGTCGACCCGCACCGGCACTTGAACCCGGTGAGCCCCACGCGCCGCCTGCACGTCATGCACCTATTCGGCTGAGCCGGTGAAGCGCTCTTCGGCTCCTCCGCCTGAGGCGCCGGATCAGCCGCAACAGCAACCGAAGACGAAAGATCGGCAACAGGTTCCAGCGACGACGAAGATGACTCCGATTTCTCCGCCGTGGACGGCTGAGGGACTATGGACTGATTGAGAACCAGCTTGGCCGAAGAGGATTGTTGCTCCTTGAGCTGCAAATCTCTGTAGCATTTGGAACAGAGATTCTGCGTCGCAGGACTACCGAAGAAGCCGCAGTTGTTGGCACAAAGGCGCGGAGCTTGGCATCTATGTTCTTCCGCCATCTTCTTTGATCGATGTCGGTCCAATCCCGCCGAGAGATCTAGCGATCTGCAAAAGGAAACGCCAAACAACGTCAATCAGTATATTTTCAAACCTAAACAAGCAGGAAGAATTTTCCAAAGACGAAGGAACATCACGTAGAGGAGGAGGACGATTACCAGCGAAAGGAGGAAAAAAACGCGGAAGAGAGAAGAAGGGTTTGGGGGATTAGAAGGGGGGACAGAGAGGGGAATCTGCAGAAGAGAAATAAAGAAGGAAAAGAAAAGCACCTCAAGAGGAACGCAAAGGGAGGATGAGAGATGTGGAGCTAGGGTATAGGATTGCTGGAGGGTGAAGAAAATTCCAGAGGCCTTCTTCTTTTCTATATGTCTGCGACTCTCTCTTTTCTTTTTTTTTTTTTTTTTGGGCGTGAATTGCTTTTTTATTTATTAATAAGGGGAGAAACGGCGTGACCCCGTCTATTGCTAATTTGTTACGCGCCCCCCAAACGGTTTTTAATATGAGTGCCTCTTTTTTGGTTTATTAAGGCCGTGATTACCTTCTGGAAGCCGTTGTTGCCACGCCACGCCCCCCTTCTCTCTCTCTCTCTCTCTCATTTATTCATCCTTTGTTCTTGCTATTTATTTATTTAATTTAACTCCTCGTTTGGCCAAAGCAAAAATGACATCTATTAGTTCCTGTCAATTCACTGAACCTAGACATCATTACCTCATGATGTTCTTTTTATCAGAATCTTTTTTTTACTAGCATAAAAAAGAGAAAAAGAAAAACAGAATTTCACAATATAAACAAGGAGGGTATATATGGATTTTTTTATTTCTTCTCTCTCCTAGATCCTAGAAAAACATAATTTCAAAATATAAACAAGGCAGGTAAAATCCTTATTTGGATATTTTTGGTCAACTAAAATCTATATATGGATTTCCTTATTTCTTCTCTCTCCTAGATCCTCTTAATCTTTTCCTCTTTTCCTAATTTTTTTTAATCCCGAAAAATTCACAAAGCAGAGTGTAAATATATTATATTAATTAATGGATTGATGATTTATCAACAAAATAAAGAAAAAGCAACGAAGCACTTCATTCTAATTTTAAATATTATTCTTATTTTTGTTAACTCTAATTCTAATCTACAGAAAATCAATGTATATTTTTAACAAATAACTAATTTAACTAATTTATAAATTTATCTAAATTTATAAAGTATATCATATATTAAGGAATAGTAATTAAAAATAAAAAATTACTGCAAACAATTTTTTCCCATCGGACTAATTAGAAATTTTGTTCTGGTTTGATTGTCAAAATATTCTTCCAAGCATAATATCATCCGGAATGCAACTATATCTAGGAAAAAAAAAAGCATATAATAAGTAAAATCCTTATTTGTGGCTGCACAAATGGTAAACAAATGATCTGATTGGGATACTTTCACTTTTTTTTTAATATATTGTTTACGATAAAATTAGATTTTCTTTCGGCTCTTAAACAGTTGAACGTACTCTTCATTAATAACCGAATTGTCGTCTCTGTTATCCCGGGATTTGCCTAGCTTTGTATTGTTAAACTCTGCTTGCTTTTGTATTCCCAAAAGAAGAAGAAGTAATAACTGGATTGGGCCTCAATTCACCATCTCGAGACATTTCATCTGGGCTGGGCCGTAAACTCCATTCCCGGAGGTGGTGGCCCTCCCATTTTCAGAGAATCTCAAACCCAATTTCATTTACTGAGATATTTTTGGGTCAACACATAATTCAACTTGTCACACCCAAAAAAAAAAAAAAATCAACATGCTATTTTTAAACTCAAATTTCTTACCTACAAAGCTCCGTGGCGTTTTGTCGGCTCATTAAATTATGAGTAAACTATACTTCTGAAGTACTGAGTGGTATTTACTTTGGTCACCATTCCTTGCTCGTTTGGTCATGTGCCTCAATATTTTGGGTTAACAGTCCCCTTTCCTCTTCAATTCCAATCCTATAACAGGCCTAGTCAGGAAAATAGCAGTCGAATAATGTATTGTTGCTTTCACGAACCAATGTCCGTATCAGGAATCAAACAATTAAAGAATCTTCATCTACCCAGCATCTTAACATTGATTGTGCTTCTAGCTGTGGTTTATATCATGTTTTCAAGACTACGTAAATGTGAGCACCCTAGTGTTTGTTTGTAAGCATAAGCTCTCTGTTTCCTTAGAAAATTCTTCCATATGGCACAAACCCCATTAATTAAAAGAATTACTATATGGTTGGTCTCTTCTTCTTTCTTTATTTCCATGTTACTTATTCAAAGAATTTGATAGGTGCCAAGTCATAATCAGAAACAAAACTAGCCGGCTCCAGAATTTAATATCATGAGACGTGCATTACATAATACAGGTTTTGACCTGTTATAAAATGGGCCAATCACCCACTACTCTCTACTGCATCCAAATATTAGCTTCATCTGTCACCAGCTTCTTCACCCTCCTGCCATATCATGAGGTTTCTTCAAGTCTTCAAGATCACTCTTTTCCTGTTTATTGGATTTACTTTAGTTCATGGGGGCACTCCTAAGGTAAGAATTGACCAAAGCCTTGTAATAATTGTCAGGTACATTCTGTTATTTGCCCGCACCATGGGCTTTGTGTACAAGGAAACTAATGTAACTTGGTGACATGTTTGGACGCAGCAAAAGCATTATATAGTATACATGGGAGAGCATTCACATCCCAATTCAGAATCTGTAGTCAGAGCAAACCATGAAATACTTGCTTCAGTCTCTGGAAGGTAAGACCCTTCAATTTAGCATATGTTCCTTATGCTAGTGGTGTTCTTTCTTAGGTTGTCTAAGAAGTGTTTGAATTTTTCTCAGTTTCGACGAAGCAAAAGCAGCGGCAGTTCATCACTACGCTAAAAGCTTCCGAGGTTTCTCAGCAATGCTCACACCAGAGCAAGCTGATGAACTTGCTGGTAAAGTACTTTACTCTCATGTCTTGATCTCTTTCCCATTTCTTCATGTAGGACAGGGGAGCACTTCAAATTAGATGACTAATTAACTCGGTATTCCCACACACACGTGCATGCATAATCTGTATCACACCCCTAAGACATTTATCTCCTCTGATGTTCTGATTTATGTTTCAGAACATGATTCAGTCGTGTCAGTGTTTGAGAGCAAAATGAATCGGCTCCATACTACACGTTCATGGCATTTTCTTGGATCAGACTCTGTATACAATGGCGATTATCTGCCCATGGACCCCAGATCCAATGTCATTGTTGGTGTTGTTGACTCAGGTATATGATGAAATCTATAACGACAATACAACTCACTGTAATGCACAGAAAAACGTCGAAAAATAATTATACAGACTTGGTCTATGAAAATTTGGCAAACTAAATCAATTATAAGGAGACATAAAGGCAGTTAAATATTCTTTTAGTTGAATTCACTTTTGACACTTTTATGCGCATCTCCATAATTGATATGGTTTATCCGTTTTTTCAGATAAGGTCTACTCACAGAATCTCACTTGCCAGATGCGACCATTATTTTTTTTTTCCTATTTATAGTATTTCATTTTGATTAAATTGATTTAACTTTGATCTTTAGGTATATGGCCAGAATCGAAAAGCTTCAATGATGACGGATTAGGTCCTGTGCCCGAAAAATTCAAGGGAGAGTGTGTCAATGGAGAAAACTTTACACAAGCCCATTGTAACAAGTAAAGATACTCTTTCATGTTTCGCGACCATAGTCTAGAACTAAAACAACACACGAACTTGTCCCTTACTAATACAACAACATATTTCTCATCACTCAAACCTTAGTCCATACCGACCATGTCATCTGGAATTTGGATTTTACAGGAAAATAATTGGTGCTCGGTTCTATTCAAAAGGTTTCACAACAGATTTTGGTCCTCTGCAATCTCAGAACCGAACTTTTTTTATGTCAGCTCGAGACAGTGATGGACATGGAACCCACACTGCGTCCACAATTGCAGGGTCCATTGTCACTGACGCTAGCTTATTTGGTATGGCTAAGGGAACTGCTAGAGGAGGAGCTCCAGGAGCCAGACTTGCCATTTACAAGGCTTGTTGGTTTGATATGTGCAGTGATGCTGATATTCTTTCTGCCATGGATGATGCTATTCATGATGATGTTGATATTTTATCACTTTCCCTCGGACCAAAACCACCACAGCCAATTTATTTCGAAGATGCAGTGTCCATAGGAACATTCCATGCATTTCGAAGGAATATTCTCATTTCTGCTTCTGTAGGGAACTCGGTTTTTCCACGCACAGCATGCAATGTTGCTCCTTGGATCCTCACTGTTGCTGCTGGCTCAATAGACAGAGAATTCCATTCAAACATCTTACTTGGCAACTCAAAAGTTTTAAAGGTGAGGTCAAAAGCACACATCATTTCTATATAGTTCATGACTAATATGGCAACTAAAGTACGCTAAGTTGTTGTCAGGGTTTCTCTTTGAATCCAATTAAAATGGAGCAGTCGTATAGCTTGATAGACGGGAAGAATGCTGCAGCACCTGCTATTCCATCAAGAAATGCAAGGTATCTCCACTATTAGTCCGAAATAGACAAAATTCATTTGTAGACTTTATAACATTATCCTAATAATGTTCCATAGTATTAAACATCAAACTCTGTCTTTTATCTCTCAAAGACAAATGGATTCTATGGTCTTAAACTCCGCAAAAGTTTTTTTCGTGGCATGGTAAAAGCTGAATCTGACCATGAAGCTTTTTTGGGATGATGATTGAACCCAAGAAATGTGATCTACGATTAATTCTGTTTTACCATTTTTTTTATAGCTTCTGCCACCACAACACTCTAGATCCTGCCCTAATCGAGGGAAAAATTGTGGTCTGTACAATTGAGACTTTTGCTGATGATCGACGAGCAAAGGCTATCACTATAAAGCAAGGTGGGGGTGTTGGAATGATATTAATTGATCACAATGCTAAAGATCTTGGCTTTCAGTTTGTCATCCCAAGCACCATTATTGGTCAGGGAGCTGTAGAAGAGCTACAGGCATACATGAAGACAGACAGGTGAGTTTTAACTTCACCTTTTTTTTTCCCTTATTATAAAAAAAGGAAATAAAAAGAAGATATGCATAACGGAATCATGTTACTCGTCATCAAAAGAGTGACTGCAAAACTTGCTGCTCATGTTTTTATTGTATCAGGAACCCAAGTGCTAGGATCTTGTCGACAATAACTGTTGCGGATGTTAAACCTGCACCAGAAGTGGCGGCTTTTTCTTCTGTGGGACCAAATATAATTACGCCAGATATTATTAAGGCAAGCCTACTCAACCTTCTAAATAAAATTGCATTGGCATACAAGAACATAAGTTTTGCTGCTGACATGACCAAAAGCATCACAAAAAACATAACATTATGAAGTCAATGGTCTGCACACACAGTTTACTTGCTTCTTCTTCTTTTCAAAAGGGACTCAAGACTATAACATACAAGAAAATGATAACTTTTCTGCTATTCTTTAGAGAAATTGATTGATAAAAATTGTGTTCTTCTTTGTCCCACTATGCAGCCTGACATCACAGGCCCCGGCTTGAATATTTTAGCAGCGTGGTCTCCACTAGCAACTGAAGAAACAGTCGAACACCGATCCATTGACTATAACATTATCTCTGGAACATCAATGGCTTGTCCCCACATTACTGCGGTTGCTGCACTTTTGAAGTCCTCTCAACCCTCATGGGGTCCAGCAGCCATAATGTCAGCAATAATTACATCTGGTAAGTTAACCTGAAAATACTTGTCTGCTATATTCTCCGGATCCCATGACTAATGTTGTTTGTTCTAATGTTTCAGCAACAACCATGGATAACATTCATGGCCTAATTGGAAGAGATCCAAACGGAACACAAGCCACACCATTTGATTATGGATCTGGCCATATTAACCCAGTTGCAGCACTAAAAACCAGACTAGTATATGATTTTGATTCCCATGATGTTCTCAATTTTCTGTGCAGTGCTGGTGCAAGTCCAGCTCAACTTAAGAACCTCACTGGGGAACTACTTGTGTGTCAGAGATCTCCTCCTGCGTCCTACAACTTCAATTACCCTTCAATTGGGGTATCCAACTTGAATGGAAGTTTGTCGGTTTATAGGACGGTTACGTACTATGGTAGGGAACCAACAGCATATGCAGCGAGTGTTGAGGATCCAGCAGGTGTGAAAGTCAAGGTTACACCTGCAGAAATTAAGTTTAGGAAAACAGGTGAGAAAGTAACTTTCAGGATAGATTTCACTCCATACCAAAGTAGCAATGGGAATATTGTGTTTGGGGCCTTGATATGGAACAATGGGATGCATAGCGTTAGAAGTCCTATTGCTCTCAAAGTGTTGGCTATTTAGAAGTGCCTTTTGTCCTCAATAAAAGATTTTCCACGTTGTGCAATTGCGTTTATGTGCAGGTATTTCCCATTTTCAATTTAATGGAATTATGCTCATCTTCATCTTGAAGATAGTTATCTTTTCTGTACATGTCAAGTACATGAATTCTAGTTATACATATATATAAAGAATACGTGAATACTTGATAGAGTGTATCTCTTACATAGATGCATTGTACCATTTCAGTTAAGCATTGTGCACGTGTTAATGAATGAGAATTATTTTCTTTCATCCCTTTGCTTTAGGATTCTCACTTAATGGGGGGGATCTTACCTATCAAGTTATTTATATTTTCATAATGGGTTAAAAAAAATCAACGTGCAATCTTTATTGAGAAAAAAAAGCCTTTTTTCCTGTATTACCAAAAAAGGGTCTTTTTTCTGGTTAGTGGTTTATTTGAAGGTTGAAACAGACAACAAATTAAAATTCATATTAGAATGATTACCCGTAACGTAAAGGAAGAGGAATTAGTCAAAATCACGCGTTATTATAAATATTTTTTGTCGTCATTTTTCCGATCGGTACAACGCGGCCTATGAAAGGCACATCTTCCCCATCGTAGACGTGCTTGCATTTAATATTTATTCATTAATTTAAAGGAAAAAACAGAAAAATACCAACAAAAAAAAGTTCAAATGAGTAATTGCATTACATCTCATTTTTCACTCTGATTATTTTTTTTTTAAATATGAAAAATTTAAAATGTAATATGGGAAAGCTTTGAGGCTAGTGGGGGTACGAGGGCTTTGAGGCTTCAAAGGATAGGCTTTCTTGCTCCACTTGTTTTCCTCAGATTCCTCATAATGGCACTATCAGATTTAATATACTTTCGTTTGTGTCGACAAATGTATTGCTAATTGACAAAAAAGATACTATTCTTTAAGGCAATTACGTGATTATTAATCCATAGCTAAATAGTTAAGTACCTGCATTACAAGAATAAGAGATTGGAATTCCATTTTAGTCTGAGAAAAGTAAAAATATAAACAATGTTATTTTCTCTTACTCCTCTGCTTAAAATTTTCTTGTGTCCTGTTTTGCTATGATCATCAGAGGACTTTGGATGGTATGTTTGGACATTCAGTTCATGTCTTAGAAACCAAGGTCTTAGGGACCAATTGCCCATCTTTGAAAATCCTTCAGATCTGTAATCTGTTGTTTGTCTCCGTCCATAGTACTCTTTTACTGACTTCCCTCTTACGTGCGGCGAAGTTCTAACTGCTACTGTCTTTCTCTTTACCTTCTGCTTTCTTTTCTTTTTTGGGAATCTTTTTTTTTTTTCTTTCCTTTTTCTTCTTTTTCAGTTCTTTGCTATACGCATTTTAGCTTCTCGGGGATTTGACCGTTAACGAGGAGGTTAGGTCCTCGATCTTCTTCTCAGGTCCCATCACTTGGAGGGTTTTTCCTCAAGTGCCCCAAAAGCTAGGGGCTTTGTCCTTTTCACCTTTGTTTCCATTTTCCCCCTGAAAAATATTAAGGAAAAAATGAAAGTGTTTTCAAAGGTTCTTCATTAATTGAGAGTTATTGCGGCTAATTCAACGAGTATTGAATTACCACATCAGTTTAGGGTTTTTTTTTTTTAAGTTTTTCCCCGTGTCTCCCCAGCTTTTCCCACCAGAAAAAATTTCCAACCGCGATTCGACTTCATCTTCGTAGGGTTTTACTGACGCCGGTTTTCACAGTGTTTTGGGGGGGGGGGTTTACGGCTAGTTTTTGTATAAGCGTCTCTTAGGCTTTGAACTCAGTTGGTGAAGCCTCGGAAATAAGAGATTGGATCTTCAGGGGGTAAAAAGAGTGAAGAAGGCTGCTCAGGGTTCAAAAGAAGACACTTTCGAGGATGATTGCAGAGAAACCTAGTTGGGTTAGGCATGAGGGCATGCAAATTTTCTCCATTGATGTACAACCTGGTGGGCTTCGGTTCGCTACTGGCGGTGGCGACCACAAGGTATGGTCTTTTCCTCTCATCCTTCTAACGTGTCAGAGACTAGAGTCTCAATTTGGAGATATTTTGAATCTTAGGGTGCGCCAGTTGGTGGTGCCCGGGGGCTCGGCACATCAGTAACTTGTTGAATTTATTTTGACGAGTGAGTGGAATATTTCTGCGCCATTTCGTTTCTTATTGTTGCCGAAGTAATGAAGGAGGAGTTTCATTTAGAAGTTTAGACATTTGCTCGAGCTGGTGGATTCTTGATTACCTTGTATTTTGGCCAGGATTGGGTGAATAAACTCCATTATTTGTTTGCAGGCGTTTAAAACTGAGCGGCTATGGTTGGTTTCGCAGTTGCTTTGACATTCTGCTTCTCTTTCCAAAAGCAGTGATTTATGGAATTTTTTGTTTCGTCTATTTTTGCGGCCGCAGTGCTTGTTAAGAAGCCCAGAAGATATTATATATACATGGCTTAGTTTGTAGAATTATATGAATGTTGCTATGCTAGTTACTCATAATTGATTGAAAACTTCTAAAATTTGTGCCCGAAGATAACATATGTTGTCTAGCCACTAGTCAGTGCTGATTCTACCCTTGGTGATGGAACACTTTGATGCGGTCTTTCTATGCATTTTCATATCTCATACGCATCTGGCACATGCTTTTTGAAGCTTCTCCATTTATTCACATCTGGATCTCCTGTTTGAAAGTATTGAATCCAAATTTTCTGAAGATTGGATTATCATTTTCCTTGAATTCAAAATCAATACGAACATTTCATCAATGTTTGTTAGTTGATATAAGCTTATCCGTTCATTCCATTTTCTGTTGTTGCTGTTCTTGATAAATAATTCAACTTTATGAATCAATTTTGTGTTCTCTTGGTATCTTGTGGCGAATTACTTCTCATTCCAAGATAAAAACAAGACATGGTAATACTACCAACCTTGTGTTAACTAAGACAATAACTTAAGCCCCTTCTATTTCTTACTTTGTTCTGAGTACACTCTTAAATGTGTTCACTGTGCGTGAGCTGTATACCACGCTGGGGAGGATTTTTCAGCGGAGTTCTTATGGTTTTAATTTACTTTATTGATCTATTTTGGTATTTCACTTTGCTAATGGTTATAATTAGGTGCAATCGTCCTCACAATACTTACTCTTGACTCTATTTCATATAGGTTCGCATATGGAACATGAAATCTGTTAGTAGGGATATGACAAATGATGAGTCGTCCCAGAGACTTCTTGCTACCCTGCGAGATCACTTTGGATCAGTCAACTGTGTCAGATGGGCTAAGCATGGAAGGTATGTTGCATCAGGGTCTGATGATCAGGCGATATTAGTGCATGAGAGAAAGCCTGGTTCAGGAACCACTGAGTTTGGTAGTGGAGAGCCCCCAGATATTGAAAACTGGAAAGTTGCATTGACTTTGAGAGGGCATACTGCAGACGTGGTAATGCAATTGCTTTTACAATTTTAGCCTCTTGCCTTTTTCAAGAAGCCTTGCAACTAATTAATTTGAAGTACATATTTTTATCTTGGGAATCCTGAGAACTAAGTGTGCTTCTTGCCTTATTTACTGCTCATCTAAATGCTTTTGTGTTCTAACCGAGCACCATTAACTAGGGGTCTTTTTATCCATGCTTAAAGTAGGTGGATCTTAATTGGTCTCCTGATGACTCCACATTGGGCAGTGCTAGTTTGGACAATACCATCCATATCTGGAATATGAGCAATGGGATCTGCACTGCTGTTCTCAGGGGACACTCTAGCCTGGTTAAGGGTGTTGCTTGGGATCCCATTGGATCTTTCATAGCAAGTCAATCAGATGATAAAACTGTCATTATTTGGCGAACCAGTGATTGGAGTCTTGCTCACAGGACGGATGGTCACTGGACAAAATCAGTAAGTTTCGTTATCTAAAAAATCTATTCAAATTTAATCAGTTTCTTTTTCTTAATTCTAGTTTGTTTCTTTCAGCTTGGGTCTACCTTTTTTAGGCGGCTTGGATGGTCTCCCTGTGGTCATTTTATTACTACCACTCATGGGTTCCAGAAGCCAAGGCACTCTGCTCCTGTCCTAGAGAGAGGGGAATGGTCTGCAACATTTGACTTCTTAGGGCACAATGCTCCAGTGATTGTGGTGAAGTTTAACCATTCGATGTTCAGGAGGAATTCTTCTAATGCGCAGGAAGTGAAGGCTGTACCTGTCGGGTGGAGTAATGGTGCTTCCAAGACCGTAAGCAAAGAGCCACAGCCTTACAATGTTATTGCTATCGGAAGTCAGGATCGTACTATAACAGTATGGACTACTGCGAGTCCTCGGCCCCTCTTTGTGGCCAAGCATTTTTTCACTCAAAGTGTTGTTGATTTATCCTGGTATGCTCCCTGGCTGTGCTTTATATGCTCTTTATTTTGACCTTGTAGTTAGTGCAAGTGTCTTATCTAAACTTTTCTGATCATTGGGCGCTCCTTTTAAAACAGGAGCCCTGATGGATATTCACTTTTTGCATGTTCCTTGGATGGATCTGTTGCTACATTTCATTTTGAGGTCAAAGAACTTGGCCAGAGACTAAGTGATGATGAGCTAGACGAATTGAAGAAAAATCGTTACGGTGATGTGAGGGGTCGTCAAGCAACCTTAGCAGAAAGTCCAGCACAGTTATTACTTGAAGCAACTTCTCTGAAGCAAGCACCTAGCAAAAAAGTCACTTCTGATGTCCAGCAAAACCAGACTATTACTAAAGCTTATGTTGATGAAAGGGCTGCTATAAAAATTTCTGAGCCTCAAGTTGACATTAAAAAGAGTGGGGGCCCTGTTGGTGATGGGATAAACAAAGTTGCAACCTCTGGCCGAATTTCTAGTCCTGTCAAGCAAAGAGAATATAGACGTCCTGATGGCAGGAAAAGAATTATTCCAGAAGCAGTTGGGGTGCCTTCTCAGCAGGAAAACATATCTGGCACAGTTCAGTCTCAATCACTTGATTTTCCTCTAATGTCATCTAACAATGGAGTTGTTTCTACTGATGATGGTGCAAGAGCAAATAATTTAGGAGGACAACTTGTCAGAAGTTCTGATGTTAAGGAGCGTTCTGGAATTACTGCTAGGGCAACAATTTCTGAGAGCTTAGTGATTGAGAAGGTTCCACCACCTGCTGGCAGAGATGGAAGCATTGATGTTGAGCAGTTGGGAAATGTGATGAGTTCTAGTTCTTTAGCTGCTTGTAGTGCTACGCTTTCTCTAAGGGTGTTTGACAAGAAAGGTGGGGAAGATAATGCACCTATTTGTTTAGAAGCATGCCCAAGAGAACATGCTGTAAATGACATTATGGGGATGGGAAACACATCCACGATGAGGGAAACAGAAATTGCTTGCACGAGGGGGTCCCAGACACTTTGGTCTGATAGGATATCAGGAAAAGTCACCGTTTTAGCAGGAAACGCAAATTTCTGGGCAGTTGGTTGTGAAGATGGATGTCTGCAGGTAAGTGACATCATTTTCTTATTTAAATGTTTTTCTTTTTCTCTACTCATTTTCAAGTAACTTTTGTTGAATAAAACGAGAAAAGGTATCATTTTTTTCTCTCTTTCTTTTGTACGCGTGTGCGAAGTCCTTCCATACTATATCTGCAAGGTTTCACTGGTGTACAGTTTTAATTCTTGAGTTAATCCTGTTCTGCTTTTGCTAGAAGTCTTTATATTGATAGGACCTTCTTTTTCATCTATCAAGGCTTGAGAAGTTTTTAATGCGTGTGCACACATAAACACTCTGGCAGGAGATCATTTTGATTAATGGAAAATTGCTGAGGTTCTAAAATCCCTTTAGTAATGTTAGATTGGCTAGTCTAGTCTATATCAACATTCAGATCTTAGGGGGTGAAACTGACCCATCATTGCATGAGGATAATTCCATCCAAATATCTGCAGCTGGTGTCATGTGTGTATCGTGTTCCTTAAACTTCATTCTCTCCAACCCCTTTCACCTTTAGCTCTGCAAATAAAATTTTTGTAATCTTTAATTACAAGATTTGGTTATGTACTTCTAGTGATCATTATCAACTTGTAACGGTTCATGCGCTAGACATAATAGGCAAGGAGTAAAAGTTACACTCTTAAAGTATCTGCCCCCTTTCTTTCTTGAAGATTTACACAAAGTGTGGGAGACGAGCAATGCCTACCATGATGATGGGATCTGCAGCAACATTTATAGACTGTGATGAGTGCTGGAAATTGTTGTTGGTTACAAGAAAAGGATCCCTTTATTTATGGGATTTATTCAATCGTCAGTGCCTCCTGCAGGATTCATTGGCTTCTCTCGTTTCTCCTAGTCTTAGCTCATCTAGTAAAGACGCAGGTATCATATATTGCCAACATTCTTGATATCTAAGCACAGAAATTAGCACAACAGAGACACTGCAGCACAATCAATTCACAGGTTGTGTCTGATTCAAGTTTCAGACACTTTGATACGGAAGATGTCTTGTTTTATACTAATGATCTTTTTGCCTGAGTTCGTTTTGAAATTTTTGTTTCTCCCAGGTACTATTAAAGTTATATCTGCAAAGTTGTCAAAATCTGGTTCTCCTCTTGTTGTTCTGGCCACTCGCCATGCTTTCCTGTTTGACATGGGTCTCAAGTGTTGGCTAAGGGTTGCAGATGACTGCTTTCCTGCATCTAATTTTGCCAGCTCCTGGAGTTTGGGTTCAATTCAAAGTGGTGAGCTAGCAGCTTTGCAAGTTGATGTTAGGAAATATCTGGCTCGAAAGCCAGGTTGGACCAGGTGTGTATTTATGAACATCGATAATGTATATTGCCTTAATTGACCTTTGATTAGAAGAGACCTTAGGGATATGGATAATGTGAAGAATTTTTATTTTTGTCTAGCCTTAGAGCCCGAGTTATTGATATTTTGTCTCAGCTTCTTTGTCTAATTAGTTTTTTTAATCAAGTTTTAACAGAAATATATTCATTTTCCTGTTATTGCTAAGCATATCTTGTTATTTGAGAATATGTTTACTGAGTCATAATATAAAAGAGCAATAATTATTAATGAATTTTGAAAATATCTACTAGTACCTTTTTTTTTCCCAAAAGAAAAAAAGAGGGAGCATACTTTTTCCTTAGACCTCTCTTCTTGTTCTGAGATATGTTCTCCTTTTAATTGTTTTCTGGTAATAGTCTATCGACTTTGAACCTGATTGTTTCTTTTTTTTATAAAAATTTTGCATGTTTGTTTAAGTTATTGAAGCAATCAAAATATTAAAAATAAAAATAAAAATCTGATTTCTGTTATTTTGGGAAGCTCTTACGGGTAGCTTGATTATTTTAAAAAGCACTTTCAAGTAGAAAGTGCTTTTTATGATATGTATAACCAAACTCAAACTAACTTCTGCTTTTCATATAATCTCTAGACAATGAATGACTTTTTGATGATCTCAAAATCATGGCAAGTTTAAAGATATCTCAAAATCACTTTTCTCCACAATTTAAACAATCGGGTCCTTTAGAAGAGTAATTTTCATCTTAATATCATTGTTGGATTGTTACTTGTTGATATCATTGTGAAGCATGTATGTTAGTTTTCTTGTGAATTTGTGGATGCAGAGTGACTGACGATGGAGTGCAGACACGTGCTCATTTGGAAGCGCAGCTGGCTTCTTCTTTGGCTTTAGGATCCCCTAATGAATATCGCCAGTGCCTGTTGTCATATGTGCGCTTTCTAGCAAGGTGAAGTTCCTTTCTCAATCTATTAACATCTGACAAGAATCTCATGATGGCTGAAAATAATTGAAATAAACAAAAGGGGCCAGAAAGAAAAATCAAGTCTTTCATACAGGAGAGAGAATGGAAATACAATGCCCATAATGTGGGCCTGAGTCTGACATAAGATCAAAGGAAGGCAGAATTTTCCTGTTCGATTAGTTAGTTGGTTTATGTTTGTGTGTTAATCTGCATAATTTCTTGAGGTTAATGGAACTTGACTCCCAGTCAGTGGTCGTCACCCATCAGTGTTTTAGGAAGGTTGGCATCTGTGTTCACGAAATGTGGGGTTTTGTTATCCTGGCTCACTTTGCATGCACAATTTTGGTCTTTGTTACCATGGAATTATTACTGACAGAAAAGGGTAATAATATGATTTCAGAGAAGCAGATGAATCTCGATTGCGAGAAGTATGTGAGAGCTTTCTTGGACCTCCAACTGGTATGGGTGAGGAATCATCTTCAGGTGCAAAAAACTTAGCATGGGATCCTTTTGTACTGGTAAGACCTGATCTAGTCTCGTCAATAAACAGTTAGTGCACGCATTTCAATTTCAATTTATTTATTTATTTTTTTTTTTAAAAAAAAAATTTAGAGATTGTGAAACAGCAGAGCAAGAGCTAAATTCTTTTTCAGAGGAATAGATTTCTATGGCAAATTATTGGTGACTTGAGAGCATCACAAGGAAAAAGTGCTCTCTTTTAGATTACCCCTGAAATGGTTCAGTGACGTAGAATGAACAAATCATCATTGGTTGGTGGTTATATCTGTAATAGTGGTTTACAAAAGTTTGTCAATGGTCAAAAGACGTTGGATTCTCTATTGACCGGCAGAATTGCTGTTATTACGAAACCACAATCATCACTTCTTTTTTCTTGATCCATTTGGATCTTTGCAGGGAATGAAGAAACACAAACTCCTCAGGGAAGATATTCTTCCATCTATGGCCTCTAACAGGAAAGTCCAGAGACTGCTCAATGAATTCATGGATCTTTTATCTGAATATGAAATTACTGAAGTTAATCAAGACCAAAGAAATTCTGTGATGCTGAAGTCATCTTCTCAGGCAACAAACCAACGAGAATGTGGCTTGAAATCAACTGTTCAAATGGACAGCAGTCAACCAAAAGTAGATCGAAAGGATTCTGTTGCAGCCATTGACCTCAATGAAAGTACGATGATTGGTAAAGATCAAAGAAACGCTGATCTGTTGCCTGCTGATGAAATTTGTCCAGATTCCCCCATGACTGATCCAGGTAGACGGGATGGGCAAGCAAAAGAATCAGATTCTTGACCTTGCATCCCAGTAATGTCTGACATTAGAGGAGGATCAACATGGAATGTGAAAGTGTCATGGATGAATCATTGATGATTCAAGCCCCCCGCGTACATGATACTTCAGGTATTCCACCCTAATACCCCAATGGAATGGGTGGTTGAAACATGGAGCTCTCGCCTGAAGATGATCTCACTAACAAAACACTTGTGTAGTTGCAAAAATTAAACTTAGTCAGATCCTTAGTTTCTCCTTTGAACTTGGAGCTTGACTTCGTGTACAATGTCAAGCAATGTGATTACTTCAAAGTTATCTCACCTCTCACTGGATGCTGTAAAATCCAAAATATACTGTTAATTTCGTTTACAACTGTGGAATATCCATTTCTGTATAATAGGTCTTGCCTGGTAAGTTTGTTGGCCCTTTTTGATTTGAAGCTGACAATTAGCTCTTTCTGTTACCGTTTTAAAAGAGAGTTATCCCACTCTTGCTCTCATGTAGCATGCTAGTCACCCAGTCCTCTGCTTGGGCCTTTTCTTTCGCTGGTGCACTTTTTTGTATCCCACCTAGTGGGTGGACTTTGTAATTCATTGTGATGCCCAAAGAAAAAAAGATTTATCCAAAATATTGTAATGTAATCCTTGTAAATTTTGAGCATTTTGAGTAGATTCTTGAAGAAAAATGTAGCATGTGATGTTTTACGGTTCGTTACCATATCATTGATTATGGCCGTAAGACCCCCCCCTTTTTTGAAAACAAGATTACGGAGAGAGAGCTTCATCTTTTTTATATATTCCCGAATAACTCAAAAAAGCAGTAGATAGCATCAGATTGAGCAGAAGAAATGCAAGCATACAACTATATGATAAATCATATTATCAAGTTAGATTTAAATATATGTAAAGTATGATTGATAATGAATCTCTCAATGGGAATATTTTTTTCCATTCATAAGATTTATTTCTCTTAGCCAAGCCCTCACTACTGGTGGTAACTGCAAAGCAAGTTCAACATAATCATTCATTGAGGTCATGTCACATATTATCTGTCATTGGTTTTCCGTTTCATTTCCAACACAAGTATTTTGAGAGGTCACAATCATGGTCATGAAAAAACAATTGTCTACAGTAGATGAATCAATTTGATTCACTACCAGCCATCAATAGGTTTTGTGATCTGATTGGATTCAGTCTTATCCAGAAGTGAAAATTTCGATGTGGCGTGGTGCGGACCAGAAGATGAGTTCTGTGCCTGAACTAGTGGAACTGAAATGAAGGGACAATAACAAGGACAAAAAACAGATCTTTAATTTGAAGGCCAGTCTTTGTACTTAATCTTCATTAATGGCTGTCGAACCCTTGGTGTGTCCTAATCTGATGACTTGCAGACTTGTATGTCGGATATTGGAGATGATTATTCTGGGTTTCATCTTTTAAAATATGCTTCATGCCTAGACTTGTTTGTTGCTGGGTAGATTACAATATGTCATAAGCCACCTGAAATGGCTAAGTGACAAATCATGGGCTTAATCTTCTCCTGTTGTGTTAAAAGTAAACTACACGAAAGAATTTTCTCCGAAGATTTGATGGCGTTTTTGGTATGATTCTCTGAAGTTAAAGTAGTTAATTTTATTCATTAATTAGATCAAGCAATGAAAAGGTTGCAACTAACCTGATTGATGCTGGTGGACTCATTTTTTTTGTCCTTTGATCTGGCTAATCAAAATTAATCTCTGGAAGAAACCTTTTCTT